AAGAAAATATCCAAAATTAACTTTTTTAGAAGATAGATTTAATTGTTACAAGAAACCTGAACTAAGAAATAACAAGCAATTTTCGTATATATTGATCATGTGCAAGAATTGGCTATCCCGTAATAACAATTTATGTCCTTATTTTCAAGGTGGCCTCTTTGATTCTTCTAAACAAATTTGGAACTTACCATATCCTTAAAAAAAAAATCCAATAAAAAGATATTAGCCACCAAAACTAAAAATCAGAATTTTAGCCAATTATTTCATAGATATGTAGCAATTATGATTGATCAAAGTTTCAGAAAAATCATGTAATGCAGAAAAATAAGTCAATTTAAAGTCAAATTTTGAGATTTCTACTTATTCTAACGATAATTTTTCTGCCTAAGATTTCCCTTGCCTCATCTTCTCATAATAGATGTTCAATGTGACTATTAATATAAGTCACAACACAAAATAGAGGTTAGGCAATTAATTTCAAATCTGTTCATAGATTAATAGCCTTAATTAGTCCTTCTAGTTATATTTCAAACGTTTGTAAACACATGTGATAACTCGAAACTTGGGATGTTGTAGGTCCTAAGTGAGGTTATCTAAAACTATTTATATTTTCACTATCCTAATCAATCTAATAAGTAGAGAGGGTAAGATAGGGGTCGAACTACAAGGAGAAAACTAATGATCATAAGAAATCCTAAGTAATGAGAAGAAAGAGGTTAGAAAATGGACACGAGAAAGAGAAATGGGAGATGAGTGGGAGATGAAAAATATGGGTGAAATAGAATGTAATGAAGGAAACCCTAGATCAGAGTTGACTTAAGGGATTGTAGAAAAGAAGTTTTGAGAGTATTTTAATGAGAAAGAATGGTCGAGGTTGACAAGAAATAATGTAACTACTAAGAACATATCTAAAACCCTAGGTTTCACCCTTGGGAAAAAGGAAAGAAAACAAGTAAGCACATGGAAGAAGATTGCTTAACTTGGACCTTTATCTATCACCAAGGTCAGGTAGTTTACTCCGATAGGTTGATCTCCAGCACTTTACTCTTTGCAACTCAATTCTCAACACTCAACTTTGCCCCTAAGGCCTCTCTTGATCACTCAAGATTACACAAAAAGAGAAGAAGAATGCATCTTTAGAATAGAAGTTGTTTCACTCTAGTCAACTAGTATTAGGGCTCCTTCCAAAAAGATGAAAAGGAAAGAAGGTGAAGGGAATACATATTAGTAAAGTTTTTCAAAATACACTTAGTCCTTTCTCAAAATATCTCTAGCTCCTTTCTTTTGTTTTCACAACCTTGTCAAGCTGATTTGTCGATCCAAATGTGGGGATGGGAAGAGCACATCTTGAAGATCATGCTGATAAGTCTTCATTATCACGAGTTAATAATAAGTAAATAATATAGTTTTAACCTTAACTCATGATAAATAGACTTATATTTGTGTTAAAGTGTGAAAAGTGGTTTTCAGTTGATTAATGTGATTTTTTTGGGTAATTATGTGATTTTATACGAATTTATATGATTTTTACAGTCTTACTTTTGAGATAAATGAAGAAAAAGAAATAAAACTAAAATATTGCAAAATGGGGGAGACCCGCCGGCCAGCCGGGCCCGCAAGCGGGTCGGAAGCTCAGTCGGGGAGTAGCCGCGAGCAGGGGCTCAAGCGGCTTGGACCGATAGGGGCACGTGTGTGCCACTCCCCTTCCACGTCACCAATGGCCAGCCAATTGTGGGGCAAGGAGTGGTCGTACACGCGAGAGAAGGGACTTTGCTTAAAAAGCTAACATTACTATATATTCACCTGAAAAATCGGCGCACAACCGATGTGGGACTAAACTCGCGTCACACCTTCCTCAGAAGGGGCGGACAACCGGTGCGGGTTCGAATCCTCCCAGAGTCAAAATTCATATATTTTTATCTGATTATCGCGACTTTCCTGCAGATCGCCGGTGAAGGATTAAGCAACTAGAATCGCTGGATCATCGGCGAAAATCTCGTCAATGTGATTCGCGGAGCATTGCTACTAAAATTGTTGAACGATTCGCGATAAAAGGATCGCGAATCCATCGAGTAAATCATCTCCGATTAATTGACGAACAAGCCGTCGTCGGGAAGAGGACGATCCGTCGGGAGACGAGTCGCCACCTCCTGAGAGCGTACCAGATGCGATGAAGAGCCTCCTCTTGCTGCGCGGACCTGAGGATGAAGCTCCCTGACACGCGCCCCACCTCCATCCAGCTCTTCTCCATCGGGTGACAGCCACTGGAGAGCTGCAAAGTCACCCTTTTTCCACTCCGCCGGGTGACAGCCGCCGGAGACGATTCGACGACCCACTTCATTGATCTCTAGACTTCGCGAGAAGATCTAGAGATTGCCCACGTCGTCTTTGTCCAAGGAGAGCCTTCGAGGCCGTGGACACTGCACGACGATCCTCCCGAACGCTCAAGATTCCGGTGCATCGCCGACGCATCGCCGTCGCAATGCCGGAACTCTGTTTTCCTGCTTTCAATTTACTTTACGCTTCATTTAGTGATAATTTTTGTGTTTTTAAGTTACCAAAATATACTTTGTTCAATTACAATTCTTCCGGCTTTTACAGATCTTAATTTGATTAATTAAATCGTCTGTAATTGCTTACGCAAGAATCGCCAGGCGGAACTCTGTTTCCGCCCGATTCGCGTTCGCCGGGCGCTGACGTCATCTTGACGTCCGCGTCCTTATTTCCCTTTTTTTTCGTGAATTTTAAATATATTTCCTTTTTATTTCCTAGTATAAAATTCATAGAAAATCGTATTCATTGAGAAAAATTCTGAATAATTACCAGATATTATATTACATCCCTGTGATCGACCTGGAAAATTACCGCTATTTTTGGAAGTTTTATTGAATTATAATTGATATATTTATTTAGAAATACTTCTAAATATCTGAAAATTCGTATTTTCTAGTTTTATAAATTTTATATTTGCGTGATTTAATATACAGCGACTGAGTCACGTCACATGCCCACAAAATTTGGGCTTAAAATCACTTCTAGATTATCAAATATTGATCCTAGAAGATGGAGAAATCTAGGTCATTGATTGAGTGTCTTCGCCGCAAAAGGACCACCGAAAGGTGACAGTTACAAAACGTGTTTAACCACTGCTTTTGGTGGAAAGACATGATTAACCACCGCATTTGGTGACGAAACGTGCTTAACCACTGCTTTTGGTGAGAGAATGTGCTTAACAGTCGCTTTTGGTGGGAGAATGTGTTTAGCCGCCACTTTTGGTGGGAGACATGTTTAACTGCTGCTTTCTGTGACAAGACATGCTTAACCGTAACTTTTGGTGGGAAGATGTGCTTAACTGCCGCTTTCAGTGACAAGATGTAATTAATCATCACTTTCGGTGACGAGACGTTCTCAACCGCCACTTTTGGTGACAAGATGTCCTTAACCACCAAAATAAGAGGCACAGTCATTGACTAGCGGTCAATGTCTTCTCGCCTTTTGCATGCAATACCTCATCTTCTCACATTCTGCATAATTGCGGCTTAAATAAAATATTCATGAATTAAATAATCACGGCGCTGCCGCATCATATACAACGGCACATCAAATAAAAATCCAGCAGCCAACACGGGTTGTTAGTTGCAGAAAATTGTGGAAAAGCCCTTACAATGTGTGAAATAATATATATATATACTTCCCTAAATTGCTTAAATATCCTCATGACTTAAATATATCAAAATAAATTCAAAACAAAGTCATAAAAAATCCGAGAATATTTTTAAAATAGGAAACAATCTTAGAATTATTATAAAGTTATTATTTAGCTATTTTATAAATGATAACATCCTAAAATAAGACATTTTAACCTAAAATATATTAACTTTAAGGGAAATAATGAGTAGTTATAGCATATTATCAACATGTTGTAACTATTTTGAGCAATTCACCTTTTATCATGGTAAATAATATATTTAAAATATTAAATATATTTAATTCACTATATTAAACAAAAATTATATGAAAACTTTGTAATGCTCTTAAAGAAAAACTATTATCTTGAGGTTGATTTTGCTCAAATAAACCTGCCACATTCAACAAAGTTAAATGACACAATTCAATGGATATTGTTCAAGTCAATCTCTCTTGGATTCATTTCAAATTTTTTCAATATGTCTGCAACAAAATTCTTCAAAACTTGTCCTCTATAGATAAAACTTTCTACAACAAAATTCACTTGTTCTTTGAAAACTTTCTAAATAATTGACTGGTATCCACGACACCTTGTCCTCTGCAGATAAAACTCAAAAAACTAAAAGCATCTTCATTAAGAAAAACATGCATAAAATCATTCAGCGCTTAAAATTCCTCAGCAACAACGCCATTGGTGAGTTAGATTTTCTACATATGTTGTTAGTCTTTAATCTCTTCAATCATATTATGAGTTATATTTTAATTTGATTCACGAAATACTCTTAGGTAGCACCAAGGCAGGTCATCTCCTCAAGAAATTTGGAGCTTACAGATTAATACTTGTTCTAATGAAAGATACGATGGGAAATCAAATGAGTGGGTTGTGGACTGAGAGAGAAAAGGAAGGAAGATGAATCTAGATCAGATTTCTCATACTTGTCTGTGTAAAAATGGCAAGCAATTGATTGTGACTTCTACTCCAAAATTCCTAACTAAAATCTAATCTAAACTAAATGGAACTTTCTTCATCTCGAAACTAACCTAGTGTCACCGCTCCTTCCTTACGCCAAAAAGAGGCATTCACTCAAAACAGTAGGAGAGACCTCGTTTAGGTGAGATGAGGAACACTCTGGATTGATACACCTGCATTCACAAGATGTAGAGCTTGGAAAACCCTAAACCCTCTAGGCTAACTGAATTGCCAAAGGTTTCCTTAATTAAAAAGCTGTTCATGACATGAGTTTTTCCCCAATGTATAGGGAGGTGTTCCCTCTCTCTCCTCTCTCTCTCACCTTTTGTGTGCATGAGAGAAGCTACTCAAAAGTTCTAGTGACTTCATCCCCTACAAGGCCACACTCTATCAAATCAATGGACCCCCTTCTTGTGTGCTCTCTCTTGAGCTGTAAAATCCTTCTCCTACCAAAAGGCTGCTGACGTGACTCAGTCGTTGTATATTAAATCACGCAAATCTAAAATTTATAAAACTAGAAAATACGAATTTCTGGATATTTAGAAGTATTTATAAATAAATATATCAATTATAATTCAATAAAAGTTCCAAAAATAGCGGTAATTTCCCAGGTCGATCACAGGGATGTAATATAATATTTTGTAATTATTCAGAGTTTTTCTCAATGAATACGATTTTCTATGAATTTTATACTAGGAAATGAAAAGGAAATATATTTAAAATTCACGAAAAAAAAGAGGAAATAAGGGTGCGGACGACAGGATGACGTCAGCGCCCGGCGAACGCGAATCGGGCGGAAACAGAGTTCCGCCCGGCGATTCTTACGTAAGCGATTACAAACGATTTAATTAATCAAATTAAGATCTGTAAAAGCCGGAAGAATCGTAATTGAACGAAGTATAGTTTGGTAAATTAAAATCACACAAAGTATCACTAAATAAAGCGTAAATTAAATTGAAAGCAGGAAAACAGAGTTCCGGCGTCGCGACGGCGATGCGTCGGCGATGCACCGGAATCCTGAGCGTTCGGGAGGATCGTCGTGCAGTGTCCACGGCCTCGAAGGCTCTCTTGGACAAAGACGACGTGGGCAATCTCTAGATCTTCTCGCGAAGTCTAGAGATCAATGAAGTGGGTCGTCGAATCGTCTCCGGCGGCTGTCACCCGGCGGAGCGGAAAAACGGCGACTTTGCGGCTCTCCGGCGGCTGTCACCCGACGGAGAGGAGCTGGATGGAGGTGGGGCGCGTGTCAGGGAGCTTCATCCTCAGGTCCGCGCAGCAAGGGGAGGCTCTTCATCGCATCTGGTACGCTCTCAGGAGGTGGCGACTGTCTCCCGGCGGATCGTCCTCTTCCCGACGACGGCTTGTTCGTCGATCAATCGGAGATGATTTACTCGATGGATTGCGATCCTTTTATCGCGAATCGTTCAGAAATTTTAGTAGCAATGCTCCGCGAATCGCGTTGACGAGATTTTCGCCGATGATCCAGCGATTCCGGTTGCTTAATCCTTCACCGGCGATCTGCAGGAAAGTCGCGATAATCAGTTAAAAATATATGAATTTTGACTCTGGGAGGATTCGAACCCGCGGCGGTCGCCCGCCCCTGAGCAAGGTGTGACGCGGGTTTAGTCCCACATCGGTTGTGCACGGATTATTCAGGCGAATATATAGTAAAGTTAGCTTTCTAGGCAAAGTCCTCTCGCGTGTACGACCAATCCTTGCCCCACACCCGGCTGACCACCGGTGACGTGGAAGGGGAGTGGCGCACACGTGCCCCTATCGATCCAAACAAGCCGCTCGAGCCCCTGCTCGCGGCTACTCCCCGACTGCGCTTCCGACCCGCTTGTGGGCCCGGCTGGCCGGCGGGTCCCCCCATTTTGCAATATTTTTATTTTTATTTCTTGTTCTTCATTTATCTCAAAACTAAGACTGTAAAAATCGTATAAAATCACATAATTACCCAAAAATTCACGTTAATCAACTGAAAACCACTTTTCATGCTTTAACACAAATATAAGTCTATTTATCATGAGTTAAGGCTAAAACTATATTATTTACTAATTATTAACTCATGATAATGAAGACTTATCACACCCCCCAACTTAAATCATTGCTAGTCCCTTAGCAATGGAATTACGAAAATAAAAATTTACAAATCTCAAACATCATATTTCAATACAGAAAAGAAATACAATTAGAAATGATGCACCTTTAAACACTTTGGATTCTTATATCAAGTATTTAAGAATGATGTCAAGCACTTAAATGTTTAAACACTCCTTGGAATAACAATCTAGACTTCACTTCTTCTATTCACATCTTTATCACTTCTTCACTCATAGATGTATTTACAAGATGTTCCAATTATCAATACTCATCCAAGAATAATATTGATCTTACATTTCCCTTTTTCTATGACTTGATTTTTGAAGTTTGCACTATATTTCTTCCTTCTTTTTTTTTTTTATATATATAGTAGATAAGTAGCTTTTCCTGTAGACAAATTTCGACAATAAGAATGATGTCTCACACCCTCCATGTGTACTCTTCATTTTCAGGGCTTTCACTTTATCCACTTATTTTTCAGCAAGTGTTTTTCTATGCACGATTTTCGACAATGAGAATGATGTCTCACACCCTCCATGTGTACTCTTCGTTTCTAGATTTTTCACATTGCTCTCTCTTTTTTTTTTTTTTTTTTTTTTGAAATAAGTGATTTCTCCTCACAAGTCCTATAGATCAGGGTGCAAAAATCTCCATTAAACTCAAATGATCAATCAAATTTTCACATCAAGTAAATATTATCCATCAAGATCATGAAGTGAAAATCTGTAAAATCAAATCCATGTTATCTATCATGTATCCAAGGAGTATTCCAACATTTCATGCTACTAGATCATTCTTTTGACTCAATAATAATCTTCCTAGTATCTTTTGGTATCAATCAATCTAATTGATTTAATTTTTCATGCATGCAATATGATGTAAGGAATTTGTAAATTAGATAGTTCTGACAGTTCTGTTTTCTGTTTTCAGTTCTATTTTAGCAGCAATAAATTTGTCAAAAATAAATCAAAACTATCTTCTTTATAGCTGTAATTTCGAATTTCAGTAATATATGTCTAGGGGATTGAAATGTGAGAAAAGGGTCTCTATAATTTCAAATTTCGGGTTGTTTTTTCATCTGCTGTTTTTAACAGTCTGTTGTTCCTAACAGAAAACCAGAAAATAGATGTTGCAGTTTTTCCGAATTCGGCGATTTTTTTTATTTTTTTAGTTGCTGTTCTAAGTTGAATAAAATGCAAACACATGTTCTTAATCGTCCTACAGCATAAATTAATAATGAATACTTCCCCCCCGACTTAAAAATGACATTGTCCTCAATGACACAAAAAAAATCGAAACAGAATATGCAGAAAATATAATTTTCAAGTAAAGCATGCATATATGCAAAGTTAAGCATTAAAAATGTTGTCATAAATGATAAAGCTCAGAAAGACATCACCTCAACCTCGTTTTTAATTTTCCACTTCATCTTACACACCTCCTCCTGCACTTCTTCGAAAAAAAACAAATACAGAAACAAGTACTGCGAAATTCTAAGAAAAACAGAGCTTAAAAAAAATCAAACAGAATGAAATAAAAACCATGGGTTGCCTCCCATGCAGCACTGAATTTAATGTCTCCAGCTGGACTCCTTGATCTTACTCTTGAATTTCTTTTAATAATAAAATTTCTTTTTCTGCAAGGCGTTCATGTTCTATGTAATGTTTAAGCCGTTGTCCATTTACCTTAAAGTTATGATCACTTTTAGGATCTTTAATCATTACAGCCCCATGATCATGTCTCTTCCACCACATAAGGCCCTTTCCATTTTGATTTTAATTTTCCTGGGAATAATTTCAGCCTAGAATCATATAACCACACTTTTTGTCCAACATCAAATTTTTTTCTGCTAATGTATTTATCATGAAAAGTTTTAGTTTTTTCTTTATATATTCTATGATTTTCATAAGCTTCATTCCTCAACTCCTCTAGTTCATGTAACTGAAAAATTCTATGCCCACCAGCTGATTTTTCATCCATACATAAATTTTTTATAGCCCATAATGCTTTATGCTCTATTTCCACAGGAAGATGACATGGCTTTCCAAAAATGAGACGAAATGGGGACATACCTATGGGATTTTTATAAGCTGTTCTATAAGCCCATAATGCATCTTGTAATTTCGTGGGCCAATCTTTCCTATCTGGTCTAACTATTTTTCTCAAAATTCTCTGAATTTCCCTATTTGCTACTTCAGCTTGCCCATTTGTTTGGGGATGATATGGAGTGGCTACTCTATGGTGTACTCCATTCTTTTTCAACAGTTCTCTGAAATTTTTATTTGTAAAATGTGTTCCTCCATCACTAATAATCACTCTAGGACATCCAAATCTCGAAAAAATATTTTCCTGCACAAATTTCATCACGATTTTATGATCATTAGTTCTAGTAGGAATAGCTTCCACCCACTTCGACACATAATCAACAGCAAGCAAAATATATTCATATTTTTCAGCTGATGGGAAGGGACCCATGAAATCTATTCCCCATACATCAAAAATTTCGACTACTAACATGTTACTCATGGGCATTTCATCTTTTTTACTCATGTTACTTATAGATTGGCATGAAATACATGTTCTACTAAATTCTATAGAATCTCTAATGATTGTAGGCCAATAAAAACCACACTGAAAAATTTTTGCAGCTGTTTTTCGTCCAGAGAAGTGTCCTCCACAATTAGATGAATGGCACATGTTAATAATGCTATGGTATTCTTCTTCAGGAACACATCTCCTTAAAATTTGATCATTGCCCAAGTAATATAAATCAGGATCATGCCAAAAATAATTTCTAATCTTAGAAAAGAAATGATTTTTTCTGTTCTTATCCCACTGTTCTGGAGTTTTTCCAGAAACCAGAAAATTAACAATATGTGCATACCATGGTGATGGTTGATGTTGAGCTGCCATCAATTGTTCATCTGGAAATGCGTCTTGTAAAGGTGCTGCATTTATTCCTGTGTCACTTAATCTAGAAAGATGGTCAGCAACAGCATTCTCGAAACCTTTTTTATCTTTTATTTCTAAGTCAAATTCCTGCAATAATAAAATCCATCTTAATAAACATGGCTTTGCATCTTTCTTATTTAACAGATATTTTAATGCTGCATGATCAGTATAAATAATAATTTTAGCTCCCAAAATATATGATCTAAACCTTTCTAACGAAAATACTACAGCTAACAACTCTTTTTCAGTCGTGGTATAATTTAATTGAGCATCGGATATAGTTTTACTAGCATATGAAATTACTATGGGTTTTGACTCTTTTGTTTGTCCTAGAACGGCCCCCACTGCATAATTCGATGCATCACACATTATTTCAAAGGGAAGGGACCAATCAGGAGCTTGTAAAATGGGTGCCTCAGTAAGTAATCTTTTTATTACGGAAAAAGATTCAAAACATTTCTCATCAAAATTAAAAGGCATATCTTTAGATAATAGCATGGTGAGAGGTTTAGAAATCTTCGAAAAATCTTGAATAAATTTTCTGTAATAACCTGCATGACCCAAGAAAGATCTAATCTGTTTTACTGAATTTGGAGGTTTCATTTTAGATATAATATCAATTTTTGCTCTATCCACCTCTAAACCCCTTTTACTCACAATATGACCCAACACAACTCCCTCTTTAACCATAAAATGTGATTTCTCCCAACTCAAAACTAATTTTTTCTCTATGCATTTCTCAAGTACATGCTGTAAATGATTTAAGCATTCATCAAATGATTCGCCAAAAACAGAAAAATCGTCTATAAAAATTTCCATGCATTTTCCAATCATATCAGAAAAAATAGACAGCATACATCTTTGAAATGTGGCTAGAGCATTACACAGACCAAAAGGCATGCGTTTAAAAGCAAAAGTACCAAATGGACAAGTGAAAGTTGTTTTTTCTTGATCTAAAGGGTTTATATAAATTTGATTATAACCAGAGTATCCATCCAGAAAACAAAAAAAGTTTTTTCCAACTAATTTTTCTAGAATTTGATCAGTAAATGGTAGGGGAAAATGATCTTTTCTAGTAACTGAATTTAATTTTCTATAATCAATGCAAACTCTCCAACCGGTAGTTAGTCTTGTTTGTATTTCATCCCCATTTTCATTTTTTATAACCGTAATCCCTGATTTTTTTGGCACTACTTGTGTAGGACTAACCCATTTGCTATCTGAAATAGGATAAATAATATCAGCAGCCAGCCACTTTAAAATTTCCTTTTTTACAATTTCCATCATGTTAGGATTTAATCTTCGTTGTGGTTCCCTACTAGTTCTAGCCCCCTCCTCTAAATATATACTATGCATGCATACACTCATATCAATGCCCCTTAGATCGTCCATTTTCCAGCCCATAGCTTTCTTATTTTTTCGAAGTACATCTAATAATTCTTCTTCCTGTTCATCACTCAAATCAGCTGCAATAATAACAGGAAATGAATTATTTTCCTCCAAAAACATATATTTTAAACTAGAGGGAAGAGGTTTCAACTCTAAATTCAGATGATCTTCCTCTTTCTTTTCTTCTAAATTTATATTCTCTATTTCCTCTAATTCTTTCAACACACAATCATCAATAACATCTGGATCATCAAAATCATCTAGAAGATCTATGGTATGACAATCATATACTTGGGATTTCTTAATATCATTTGATATCTCAAAAATTTTAATTTCTACTGATTGATCTCCACATGAAATTTTCGCAATACCTGTGGGAAAATCAATATTCATCTTTGCTGTATGCAAAAATGGTCTCCCTAAGATGATTGGTGTATCATAAAACTGTCCATTAAAATCTATTTCTAGTACTACGAAATCAGCTAGAAATTTACACCCTTTAACTGTCACTATCACATTTTCTAAAATACCTTTAGGATGTTTTATGGATCTATCAGCAAATTGTAAGGTAACAGTAGAAGGTTTAAGATCAGAAATATTAAATTTATCACAAATACTTGCAGGTAATAAATTAATGCTAGCACCGGTGTCAAGTAATGCATTCTGAAAAATGAATCCACCAATATCACACGAAATCAAAGGGGCACCTGTATCTCTCAATTTATATGGTAATTGATTTAATAATAATGCACTAGCATGCATAGATAATTTTTCTACTCTAGGTGCCCTTTTTGGTGTACACATTTCTTTCAAAACTCTAGCATATTCAGGAATATGTTCAATGGCAGTAAGTAAAGGAAGACTAATTTGCACATCTTGTAAAATTTTCTTTATTTCTTCATTGTGTTCCTTTTTCTTTCTTTGTCTAGGCTCTAGAGCTTTAGGAAATGGAATGGTTGTCCTCTCTTTCGAAATTTCCTTGTAGAATCTATAAAATCCTCTTCTACTCCTATTTGATTTTGTTTTGGGTTGTCCACGTTTTCTTTTTCTTCTAATGTTTGGGGATAAGGATCAGCTAAGATCTTACCACTCCTTAATGCATTCACTGTCCTAACATTTTCATTTCGTGGGTTTTTTCCTAGATTCATACTACTAGACTCCCCTTGCTGAAATCCTATTGTTGGGCGGTTCCCTGGATTTTCTATGGGCTGACTAGGTAGCTGTCCCTCTTCTCTCTTATTCCCAAGAGCCTCTATAATTTGTTTCTGGTGCAGCATCATTTGGTTCATAGTTTGTTGCATCATTTGGCTCATTTGCTGCATCATTTCCATAGCATCAGGTTGGATTTGAGAGGGCTGATTTTTCTGAAATCTGTTTTCTTGTTTTGGATGAAATTCAGAGTTTGAATTGGGTCTAAGTGCTTCTGGATTTTGAATATTATTTGGGTCTCTCCATGAAAAACTATTCCTCCAATTAGGATTATAAGAATTTGAAAAAGGTTCCCTGTTTCTATTAAAACTGTGAGCTACTTGCACTTGTTCTTGCATAGGGTGAAATGATTGATCTAAATTATAACATTGAAATTCAGAATAATCGTTTTCACCATACATAGGACATGTACTATTCGAATTAAGTTGAGGGTTAAAAGGCTTTCTAATATTGTCAATAAGTAAATCAATTTTTTCTAATCTTTGATTAATCTGATTAACCTCATTTCTAAGTTTAGAATCATCATCATGATGTAATTCATAAATTCCTCTCTTCTTATCCCTGTCATATAATTCAAAAGAGGCTTGATCTCTAGAATTTTCACTTAAATTCTCATAAAGACTGTAAATCTCATCAGGAGTTTTCTCCATAAAAGCTCTTCCACATATAGAATCAACCATATTTCTATGTTGTTCTAATAATCCATCATAAAAAATTCTATTGAGCTGCCACTTGGGTATAGCATGATGAGGACACTTTCTAAGTAAATCTTTAAATTTTTCCCATGTCTCATGCAAAGTTTCTCCTGGTCTTTGAGAAAAACTCCATATATGTTTTCTCATATTTTGAGTTTTTCCTAAGGGATAAAATTTTCGAAGAAAGGCCTGTTCTATATCTTTCCAGCTAGTTAATTCTCTATCTAATGTGGATAGCCAATGACTAGCTTTGTCCCTAAGTGTATGAGGGAATAATTTCATCTTAATAATTTCCGGTGTAACTTGAGGGAGATTAACTAAATCACAGACCATATGAAATTTTTCCAAGTGCTGATGAGGTTCCTCTAAAGGCAATCCATGAAAATTAGGGAGCATTTGAAAAATTCCTGGATTTATTTCGAATTTAACAGTGGGTGCTAATGGGACTCTAATATTGGATGCTCTTTGAAATGAATCAGGGATATAATGATTTTTCATGGCCATAGGATTGTTCTCAGTTTGACCTGTACTTCCTTCAGGATCCATCAAAATTAATTTTTCTTTCGGATTTTTCTTTTTGAATGAAATAATGAAAGGATTTTCTAGCCTTGGATGCAAGGATCTTCTACCATGCATAAAAATCAATAAATTCGAGGGAAAAAGTTAGTAACTGTTACCCTCCTTCAGGATGCTCCAGTCCTTGCCGTGCTTCTTTTCGTTCCCTTTTTTCTAATAAAAATCGGCAAAAAGAAAATAAAACAAGAGTTAAGTTTTTTTTTTTTTTTTTTTGTGTACTCTAAGAGAAAAATAGAAAAATACTAAATATTATGCAATACATCCCCGGCAACGGCGCCAAAATTTGACGTGACTCAGTCGTTGTATATTAAATCACGCAAATCTAAAATTTATAAAACTAGAAAATACGAATTTCCGGATATTTAGAAGTATTTATAAATAAATATATCAATTATAATTCAATAAAAGTTCCAAAAATAGCGGTAATTTCCCAGGTCGATCACAGGGATGTAATATAATATTTTGTAATTATTCAGAGTTTTTCTCAATGAATACGATTTTCTATGAATTTTATACTAGGAAATGAAAAGGAAATATATTTAAAATTCACGAAAAAAAAGAGGAAATAAGGGTGCGGACGACAGGATGACGTCAGCGCCCGGCGAACGCGAATCGGGCGGAAACAGAGTTCCGCCCGGCGATTCTTACGTAAGCGATTACAGACGATTTAATTAATCAAATTAAGATCTGTAAAAGCCGGAAGAATCGTAATTGAACGAAGTATAGTTTGGTAAATTAAAATCACACAAAGTATCACTAAATAAAGCGTAAATTAAATTGAAAGCAGGAAACCAGAGTTCCGGCGTCGCGACGGCGATGCGTCGGCGATGCACCGGAATCCTGAGCGTTCGGGAGGATCGTCGTGCAGTGTCCACGGCCTTGAAGGCTCTCCTTGGACAAAGACGACGTGGGCAATCTCTAGATCTTCTCGCGAAGTCTAGATCAATGAAGTGGGTCGTCGAATCGTCTCCGGCGGCTGTCACCCGGCGGAGCGGAAAAACGGCGACTTTGCGGCTCTCCGGCGGCTGTCACCCGACGGAGAGGAGCTGGATGGAGGTGGGGCGCGTGTCAGGGAGCTTCATCCTCAGGTCCGCGCAGCAAGAGGAGGCTCTTCATCGCATCTGGTACGCTCTCAGGAGGTGGCGACTCGTCTCCCGGCGGATCGTCCTCTTCCCGACGACGGCTTGTTCGTCGATCAATCGGAGATGATTTACTCGATGGATTGCGATCCTTTTATCGCGAATCGTTCAGCAATTTTAGTAGCAATGCTCCGCGAATCGCGTTGACGAGATTTTCGCCGATGATCCAGCGATTCTGGTTGCTTAATCCTTCACCGGCGATCTGCAGGAAAGTCGCGATAATCAGATAAAAATATATGAATTTTGACTCTGGGAGGATTCGAACCCGCGGCGGTCGCCCGCCCCTGAGCAAGGTGTGACGCGGGTTTAGTCCCACATCGATTGTGCGCGGATTATTCGGGCGAATATATAGTAAAGTTAGCTTTCTAGGCAAAGTCCTCTCGCGTGTACGACCACTCCTTGCCCCACAGCCGGCTGGCCACCGGTGACGTGGAAGGGGAGTGGCGCACACGTGCCCCTATCGATCCAAGCAAGCCGCTCGAGCCCCTGCTCGCGGCTACTCCCCGACTGCGCTTCCGACCCGCTTGCGGGCCCGGCTGGCCGGCGGGTCCCCCCATTTTGCAATATTTTTATTTTTATTTCTTGTTCTTCATTTATCTCAAAACTAAGACTGTAAAAATCGTATAAAATCACATAATTACCCAAAAATTCACGTTAATCAACTGAAAACCACTTTTCATGCTTTAACACAAATATAAGTCTATTTATCATGAGTTAAGGCTAAAACTATATTATTTACTAATTATTAACTCATGATAATGAAGACTTATCAGCTGCCTCCTCACTCTTGCAAACAACGGTTGAACTATTGTATCACAGCTGTTGATGAAGTGGCTACAACAAGAGGCATAATTCTTAAAATCACTAGAAAATGATTAGAAAAATCACAAAAAGTGTATTCAATGTCTTGTTGACAAGAAGAAGAAAAAACTCTAGAATTGATGATTGAAGAAACGGAGTACATAAAGTTATATAAAAGAAGGGAAGAAAGAGAGAGAGAGATGGAGAAGTGGAGATCATGTATCAAGAATAGGGACAGAGAAAATAAATTTAAATTGAGCTTGATAGGTGATGTGACTTAGTCGTTGTATAGTAAATCATACAAATTTAAAATTTATAAAACTAGAAAATACAATTTTTTAGATATTTAGAAGTATTTCTGAACAAATATATCAATTATAATTCAATAAAACTTCCTCAAATAGTGGTAATTTTCTAGATCGATTATAAGAATGTAATATAATATCGGGTAATTATTTAGAAATTTCCTCAAAGAATACGATTTTCTATAAATTTTATACTGGAAAATGAAAATAAAATATATTTAAAATTCACAAAAAAGAGAATAAAAGTACAGATGTCAGGATGACATTAGCACTCGACGAACGCGAATCGGGTAGAAATAGAGTTACGTCTGACGATTCTTACATAAGTGATTATAGACGATTTAATTGATCAAATTAAGATCTATAAAAGCCGGAAGAATCATAATTGAATGAAGTATAGCTTGGTAAATTTAAATCACATAAATTATCACTAAATGAAGTAAAAATTAAGTTGAAAGTAGGAAAATAGAGTTCTGAAGTTGCAGCGGTGATGCGTTGGCAATGCACCAGAATCCTAAGCGTTTGAGAGGATCATCGTGCAATGTCCACAGCCTCAAAGGCTCTCCTTGGATAAGGACGATGTGGACAATCTCTAGATCTCCTTGCAAAGTCTAAAGATCAATGAAATAGATCGTCGAATCGTCTCTAGCAACTATCACCCGACGGAGATGAGCTAGATGGAGGTGGGGTGTGTGTTAGGGAGCTTCATCCTCAAGTCCGTGTAGCAAGAGGAGGCTCTTCATCGCATCCGGTACGCTCTTAGGAGATGGCGACTTGTCTCCTAGTGGATCGTCCTCTTCTCAATGATGGCTTGTTTGTTGATCAATCGGAGATGATTTACTTGATGGATTCGCAATTCTTTTATCACAAATTATTCAGCAATTTTAGTAACAATACTTCATGAATTGTATTGACGAGATTTTTGCCGATGATCCAGCGATTCTGGTGGTTTAATCTTTCACTGGCAATCTACAAGAAAGTCATAATAATCAGATAAAAATACGAGTTTTAGCTCTGGGAGGATTCGAACCCACACGAGTTGTCTACCTTCGAAGCCTTTTAGGGGAAAGTGTGATGCGAATTTAGTCCTACATCGCTTGTGCACCGAAGTTTTGGGTGAATAAATACTAATATCACACTTTCAAGCAATGAGTCTATTTCTCCCACATGTACAACCACTCCTTGCTGCATAGTTAGCTGGCCACCGATGACATGGAAGGGGAGTGGTGCACGCGTGCCTCCATCGGTCCTAGCTGCTCAAGCCCATGCTCACGGCTCCCCTCGACTATGCTTCCGACCTGCTTGTAGGCCCGGCTAGCCAACGAGTCCCCCTCGTTTTGTTATATTTTTATTTTTATTTCTTTTTCTTCATTTATCTCAAAAATAAGACTATAAAAATCATATAAATTCCTACAAAATCACATAATTAGCCAAAAATTCAAGTTAATCAATTAAAAACCACTTTTCACAATTTAGCATAAATATAAGTCTATTTCTCATGAGTTAAGGCTAAAAATATATTATTTACTAATTATTAACTCATGATAATAAAACCTTATCAACGAGTCACCATCTCATGAGAGCGTATTGGATGCGATGAAGAGCCTTCTCTTACTGTGCGGACTTGAGGATGAAGCTTCCTAACACGCACCCCACATCCATCCAGCTCCTCTTCGTTGCGTGACAGCCGTCGAAAAACTACAAAGTCGCATGTTTTTCGCTTCACCGAATGACAACCGCCAAAGACAATTTGACGATCCATTTCATTGATCTCTAGACTACACAAGAAGATCTTGAGATTGTCCACATTGTCTTTGTCCAAAGAGAGCCTTTGAGGCCATGGACACTACATGACAATTCTTCCAAATGCTCAAGATTTTGGTGCATCGTTGATGCATCGTCGCTGCAATGTCAAAACTCTGTTTTTCTACTTTTAACTTAATTTTTTCTCTATTTAGTGATAATTTGTGTGATTTAAATTTACCAAACTATTATTCATTCAATTATGATTCTTCTAGCTTTTACAGATTTTAATTTGATCAATTAAATCATCTGTAATTACTTACATAAGAATCGTCAAGTGAAACTTTATCTCTACACGCTTAATTTGCTTTTCAGCGAATTTTAAATATATTTTATGTTTATTTCCTAATCTAAATTTTATAAAATATTATATTCTTTGAAGAAAATTTTAAAAAATTAACCAATATTATATTACATCTTTGTTATTAATCTGAAATTTTATTATTATTTTTAGAACTTTTATGAAATTATAATTAATATATTTGTTCAAAAATACTTCTAAATATTCAAAATTAATATTTTCTAATTTAATTTTTTTTAATTTATGTGATTTACTATATAAAAACTTAGTCACATCAAATTCTGGCACTATTGTCGGGGATGTATTACATAATATTTGGTATTTTTCTCTTAGAGTACACAAAAAAATTTAACTCTTGTTTTTATTTTCTTCTTACAAAAAAATTTATAGAAAAAAAGGAGAATGAGAGCAGCAAGGCAAGGACTAGATCATACTGAAGGAAGATAACAATCATTAAAAATTTTCATCAAATTTATTGATTTTTATGCATGGTAGAAGATCCTTACACTCAAGGTTAGAAAATTTTTACACTATCTCATCCAAAATCAAATACTAGAAAGAAAAAAATCAATT